AAAACTTACACCTCAATCTATCAAGTGTGCATTTCTGGGGTATGGTGGGACTCAGAAAGGATGTCTGTTATGATCCTAAGACACATCGAATTAGGATTTCCCGTAATGTTGTTTTCTTTGAAAAACAATCTTTCTTCACGTCAAAAATTGTTGTCCCTCCCCCTGTGTTATCTGTATTGCCTGATTTCCCAACAAAATTCTCTCGATACAAGCTTGGTCTAGTTTACTCTCACAGGCATGTTGCATCACTCACTGCTCCCGACCTTCCTTCTCATACACCTGTCTCCTTAAGCCTCCATGATCCTTCACCTACGACATCAGATTCTTCACCAGATGATCTCCCGCCCTTCGTCGCACCTCTCGTGTTCCTCAACCTCCTGATAGATATGGTTTCTCTTCCCATAGCTCTATGTTTGCTACCCTTGACTCGATTTTTCATTCCTACCTCTCATAGACAGTCTATGGAACAAGAGTGTTGGCAACAGGCTAATGGTTCTCTTGAGCACTATAAGGCTCAGTTAGTTGCCTTGGGTAACTGTCAAAAGTATGGAATCAACTATGATGAGACATTTGCTCCCATGACTAAAATGACCACCGTTCACCTCTTGTTATGTCTTGCTGCTTTTCGATCTTGGTCTCTTCATCAAATGAATGTAAAAAACGCGTTATGAAACTTCCTTCTGGTATGCCACTTCCCACAAGTGACGTTGTATGTAAGCTAAAACGCTCTTTGTATGGTCTTAAATAGGCACCTCGAGCTTAGTTTGACAAGTTTCGATACACTCTTTTGGATAGCAGCATCTTCACTCAGTTTTTCATATGAAAGACTTGGTCAACATACTTCCTTGGCTTAGAGGTTCATACTACGTTGCATGGTATCTTCTTAAATCAACCTAAGTATATTCGAGACGTGATTAAGTTGGTTGATCTATCTGAAGCCTCCTCGATTGATATGCCTTTGGAACTTAATGTTAAATATCGAAAAGCTGAAGGAGATATTCTTCCAAATCCAGCTCTTTATCAGAAGTTGGTAGGTAGTCTCATATATCTCACCATCACACGTCCAAACATTTCATTTGCCGTTCATACTGTAAACAAGTTTATGGACACTCTTCGTCATCTTCATTTGGTAGTTCGCATTATTCCCTATCTTATTGGGACTCTTCAGCGTGGACTCTTCTTCCCTCGGGGGTCGTCTCTTGAGCTCACGACCTATAATGATGCTGACTGGGCGGGTTGTCCAAATTATCGTCGATCTACTACTAAGTGGTGTGTCTTTCTAGGTGATGCTCTCATTTCTAGGAAATGTAAAAAAAAGGAATGTGTTTCTAAGTCCTCCACTGAGGTTGAATACCCAGCTATGTCCGCTGCATGTTCTGAGGTTGTGTGGTTGCATGGTCTTCTTGCAGAACTTGGTTTCTTTCAATTACAGCCTACGCCTCTTCATGGTAACAACATTAGTGCTATTCAGATTGCGGCCAATCCTGTGTACCATGAGCGCACCAAGCTTATTGAAGTGGACTGTTATTATATTCAGGACGCCTATGACTCCAAGGTCATAGTTCTTCCCCATGTTTTCTCTACTCACCAAGCCGCAGATACCTTCACCAAATCCCTGAATCACCGCCGTCATAATTATCTAGTCGTAAATTGATACTTGTGGACTCACCAACATCAATTTGGGGAAGGGAGGCATTAGCATATTATTAGAATATTATTTACTTATAGCTAATTAGGTAATTTTCTTGTAAATATTAGCTAGTTTCCATGTATATTTTGTATCCTTAAATATCTTGTAACATTCTATAAAGAAGTGCAAGACAAACGAGAAATTCATTGTGCAAATTATTGTCACAAACAAGGGCTAAATTTTCAGAATTACCTCTAAATAACAAATTGTCTTGGTCTTCAATCTATGATTTTACACCAAAGTTATTTTTCTACTTCGTAATCAAGAAACATTTGTTCGTCATCACTGAAATTATCTTCGTTCATGCAAGACTGGCACTTAAATAAAATTTCTTTGGGCATTTTATCATGGAAAGCAAGTCAAGTGTTGAAAAATAATTTTTAAGAAAAAGAATTAGAGCTGGTTAGGGCAAAAAAAGAAGAAACAACATTTTGCATCTTCAAGTTCAAGAATTCCAAGCTTTTCCTATCAGATTTCTCAACACATAGTAGGATGCTTCACCAAGGGCAAACATGTGGAATTGTTAAGATGGTTTAGTGTTTTAAATCATAATGTTTTGGTATCTCATATGAGGTGATCCTCGTTCACCATAACTGTTCACTTTGTTGATTAATGTTTTAGTAAGATGCTTCGTAGTGGGCCAGAATGTGTTGTTAAGAGGTGTAGTATAAGAGATCATATGTTTTAATACCACATCTTCAGTTTGCTAAAGATACCATTCTTTTCCTACTTGATGAAGATAGTTGTTTTAAGAAAAGAATGTAAAGGACTTAAACGAGATTTAGAAGTTGCTTAAAGTTTTAAAATAGCTCTAGATTTGCATTCATATATCAGTGCATCTTAATTCAGTGTCTATTGCAGGTTGTAGGTTGCAAGATCCTATAACTTAATTAGGTGTTCCATTCGGACCCAACCCTAGGGTGACTTCCTTTTGAGATCCAGTGACACGGAAGAATGTTAAAAAGATAAAATGGTTGGATAGGAATAGATTTGAATTTACAAAGCATAACTTTGATCATGTCATTGCTTCCTAGCATAAATTCATATTCTTTTGTGTTGTTCCAAGACCGTGTGAAGCGTGGCAAATTGAAGAAGCAACAAGATATTTCCGATGGAAAGGCATAAAGTGGTATCAGAAAGTGCTTGATCTGCATACCCAACAAGCATGCCTTCAAAGTTGAAATGGCTAGCAACATGCTCTTGCAATGTAAAGGCTTAGAGCATCATGAACAATACTCTGTATTTTTAAAGAGCATCTTGGAGAATATAAAAAAAAAAATAAGAGTGGAACTTTTTATACAAGTTCAACAACATTCATTTATTTTTTATTTTTATTTTTTCAACAAGAAAGTTACGACTAAACATTTCCCTCCCTTTTTAACTGGCTTCCTTCTTTGTAATTTTATCATTTTCCTTGTATTTTGAAAGAAGTGCATGGAACTCTGAAATAATAAACAAAATCACTAAAAGTATTATAATGAAAGTGAGTTTAGGTCTCTATATTTGAAAAGTCAGATCCAGTCTCTATTTAATTTTTGATGTACCGAGTTTGTTGAAATTCTAATGAAATGTTAACTCTCTAGAATAAAAACAATGGTCTATTAACCATTCCTCTCGATTTAGAAAGTGAATTTTCTTCTTAAAGGGATCAACAAACTCTTTGTATTAAAATGTTAAAATAAAAAGTTGATTGAGTCTCTAAATGTAGAGTCAAACCTACTCTCCATACAATACATTTAATCCATTCATTTATTATTTTACAACTTCCATTCACTTCTTTAGAGGGAAACCAAGTAAAAAAAAAACAAGGAATCAAAGTGCTTATACATAATTTCCAATGGGAAAAGAAAAATAAAGATAAATATAAATAGTGAAGTTGGCCTGTTATAAAAAGTCCCACTCTTTATTTTTTGAAAAATCTTCATGATTTTATATTGGAATATATGTTCTTTAAAGTAAAGAGCATTGTTGGAGATGCACTTAGTTTGTGTTAGCAACCCCAACAAATGTATCTTTTAGCATTGCAAGAACAGCAATTGATCAAGGAACAGAGTATGCACTTATTCTTGCATGATTCATCAAGATCGATTGTACAGACTATCCAAAGCATGTCTTCATATGCTAATGTTGCATTTTCTACATGCATTACACTCACAAACATGATGTTAAGTAGCAATTCTTAGACGACCATTCATGCTCACCCACTTCTATGTAGGAATCTAAAGGTGCAATGTATTAGGAAACGAAGTGAAGGGAGATGATGTTATAAAATAGTGGTAGAAATTGACAAAATGCCACAAAGGATGCTTGTTCCACTAGTTGATTGCCCACCCTTATGTCTCGTTATCACCGTTGTCTTCAAGCATAAATTGACAAACTTTAGCAATTTCTAGATACAACATGATATTTCCTATAATTTGAGAGTGCAAATGATCAAATGGCTCTAATGCCTCTGCTGCTAGGGGGTAAAGTCCAAAATCCTTCTATAACCATACCTCACACTCTCCATTTTTTATTAATCTTTTTTAGCATACCACTCTTTTGGTTCAGGCATTATAAAGTAGGTATTTCAACTATCTAATTGCTATAACAATTAAGCAAAAATCTAGTCCATAGTCAAGATTGGCACTAACAATCTACATTGCATTCAGAAACTCAGCAAATATACAGAGAGAGAAACAAAAAAAAAAAAAGATGGTAATCAGTAGCGCAGAAGGTAAAGTACTTATTGTTATAGAGTATTCCAATACTAAAGCAAATAACATGTTAATTCACACAGATTCAAATAACTGCCAACTGATCGAGAATGTACCAGTAAATTGGAAAGTCCACTCAAAGAAAGATACAAAAATCACATGAAAACAAAGAATGGAAGGCAAGTATTGCTACAGAAACTGAATATTCAGAGTTAATAGAAGCCTCTGATTGAACAAAGAACCAAAGTCGCTATAGCAACAGAACAAAATCATACATTAATTCCATCGTCATTCACAAATGTTTAGTAAATTGGAGAACCCAATTAACAAATCCACTCAAACATTACTTTCAACAATTTAACATTGCATTCAGAAACTCTAAGGAAAAATACAAAATCACATGAAATCAGAGAATGGAAGGCAAGTAACTGTACAGAATATTCAAAGTTATAGAAGTATCTGATTAAGCAAATAATCAAATTCCCTATAGCTACAGAGCATAAGAATGCGAAAGCAATCGTAAAACGCAAATGTATGATTAAATTGAAGAACCCCATTTTATAAAAACAGGTATACTCCAACATTACTTCAAATAATTCTAGAAATTAATTTACCTTGTTGGGTAGTTCTTAAAAGCTGGGGAAAAGTGGAAAGACTTCGTGGTTTTAGCTTCCGCGAAGAAGAAGATATGGGTAGAGAAAATAAACAAGTAGAAGGAATAAGTGGTGGGCTTAGAAGGGGAGTAGAGTTTGAATGGAGCTTTGACGTTTCAGCAGGGAATGCTGGCAAGTACCGAACAAACGCCATTGAAGAGAGTTTCAGCTGGTTTTGGGAGGTGAGGGGATTCGAGAAGTAGCGAGAAGTATAAAATAGATTTTAGGGAGCGGAGGTCACCCAAATTTTGATGCATTGTTACACATTGGTCCCCATCCTTCAAAATGGAGCATTTACATTCTTAATCTTTCATTTAACATTAGTGGACAAAATCACCCCTTAAACTTTTCTTATGAAGATAAAATTTTATTAAAAAGACAAGTTTACCCTTATTTTCAAATAGATAAGAAACATGAATGAAAAGAAAATAAAGATGATCTTCCCGAAATCACCTCAAAGTGATTGGTGATGATTGTCAATATTGTAGTTGTTTTGACACGAGGTGATGGATTGGTATGATTTGGCAGGAGGAAGTAGGGTGTGATGGTTTGGTTATAAGTACAATATATGTGCTTATTTGGGCTCCTATTTTTATTTAATTATAAATAAATTGAGCGATTATCTACTTAGGGGATGTTTGATTCTCATTTTTCCCAAAATATATTTATCTTTCTATTATTTTCAACCACACATTCATCGTTAAAATAATATTATACAAAAATCAAAAAAATTCTTCTTTTTTAACGATGCATTCTTTATCAATCTACCATTTCAAAATACGTTTTTCAAAAAACTACCCAACAAGCTAAATTTGTGTAAATTGTGGGAAAATCCCAACTTGAATTTTTTTTTTTTAAGAGACTATTTGAAGCTTAATTGGAGTTGATTTGAACCAATTGAAGATTAAATGAATATCAAAAGATCAATTGGGAGTATTAATGGTGTATTTGGTAAAAACCCATAAGTTTTGGAAATTAAATTGGATATTTGGAAAGTTTGGGACTAAATTGCAAACTTTGAAACTTGTTTTGGGTCAATTATTATTTACTTTGGAATGAAGAGGACTTGATTGTAAATATTAGAAGATGGAAGGACTAAAGTCAAATGAGAAATTGAGTTCAAACGAAAAAGGGATTTGTTTCCTTTTATTTCTTAAACTCTTTGGTATAAACCAGTTTGAACTCTTATGTGAAATCTAGTTGAACAAGGATTTCGTAGATCGTGTACTATAAATACATAGCTAAGTCCAACAACTAAATGAGAGCTTGTAGGATTTCAATAGACACATGCATTCAAGCCTAGGTTTTAGAATTTATTGTACATATATTGTTCAAGTCAAAACGAGGAAAAAAAAATCAAGAAATCAATCAAGAAGCCAGGGTTTAAAGATTTTACAAGAAGAAAACGGAATTTTAGTGCAAGATCTTCATCTTTTTCACAATTATTCTTAAAACCTGGTGATATATGATAATTGTATTTTCTACACTTATTTGTAGCTACAAATTGTAGCATGTTTTTTTAACAAAATACGACCTAATTTGTGTTATATTATGTTTAATTGGTAAAATTCATGATTTGATGAAGAATAAGAAAACTAAAAATAAAGTAGAATGACGAAATCCAAAATATGGGGACTAAAGTGCAAATAGTCTGATGGACCTCACAATGAAGATCGAATATGCCAACGATTTAATTGGATGGAATGAGAAGGTAAAAATGAATGAAATATAATCAAAAGATTTTTATAAATCAATTCCAACTGCACAAGGCATATTCTAGATTTTCAACCAGAGTTTGAAACTCATTTTTGGAATAGTAAATGCTCGAATTGGAAACATTCTATTGCTTGAAGAATTGTATCTACTTGAGTTAGTTTTCTAACGTACTTTGAATCACCTCATTCGGATATCGGGAGTGAAAGTTATGTCCACAATACTGAAAGCTATGCAGAGACAAAATCATGGCCGCGTGAAAACAATTTTTCTTATTTGATTGAAACTCTTTTAAAAGACAATTTGGACGTGAATCTTAACCTAATTTCATAGTATAAAATATATGAGAGGGAGCCATTGGAGGAGCTCTTTCACACCTCTCAAAAATTAGATCCATATCGCAAAATTATTTACGAATAAGGTTAAGCATCAAGATCAAAGCGGATTACACAAGGTTATTGAAGAATATTCATCTCCTTTTCAGATTCAAATCAAGAAAGTGGATTTTTCCACTTCCTTCATTATTTCTTCTTTCCGAGCGATGTTTTTCCAATATTTCTTGTATAATTTAATCATTAGAATGCTACACTAGTTTTGCTGTTGTATTGGATGATTAAGGAACCCCATTTTTGTTTATTTTAACTTAAGACTTTAATTTAGGTATTTCTTGCTATTTTTTGATTGATTTTGATTCACAATAAGTTTAGAACGCGGTAAAATTAACATATGTGCAATAAGTATTATGAATAATATCTATGATATGTGCAACCATGTATATAACTTAAACTAAATGCATGATTTTCATATGGATTCGAACTAGAAATAGGATCAGATCGCGTTAATCATACGTTGGTGTATTTTGAAAAATAGCATTTAACATATTAGCATTATCAATTGTCAATAATACATGAAATTAACTATATTATTAAATGATAATTGAAATAAATGAAAATAGGGGGAGTTATGAATCCAATACAAGTATTCACATTCGATAAAATCACAATTTACTTGCTTTATTAGTATAGATTAGAAATAGTATAAACAACCATAAAATCACTCTTTTACTGTCACTACTCACTCGAATTTAATACTAACTATATTTTAAACCTTATGTCTCAAGGGAACGATAAACTCGAAACTCACTATTTCTATTACTTGTACAACGATCATGTATACTTGTGGGTTTTTAACTAGAACAAGTTTTTGGCGCCATTGTTGGGGAATAACAAATTTAATTATAGTTTAGTAGTTTATATTAAGTTTTTTTTTTTTGCTTTTTTTCTTTTTGGGTTTTAATTGAGATACCTAATTTTTTCTTGTTTCACTCTTCACAGGCCTCTACTGGTTTATACAAGTTCCTGACACAATCGAGATCCTTCATATGGATCTCGAGACTGAAAGGACCTTCAAACAACACAGAAGAGAACAAAGAATATCCAGGTTAATGATTGGGAATCAAAATCAAGTTCAAAATGCACTAGAGGAAGCAACACTTCTAGTTCAGCAACTACCTCCTACTCAGTCGGTATTAGTAGGGAATTATGTTAATCTAATGTCATTCTAGTTCAACCTCCAATCCTCTACCCGCCCTTTGGACAAACTAACTTTCACATTCGACCAAATGTCATAAACCTTTTCCAAAATCATCATGACATTAGGTTCTGCGGGAAGGCCACAGAGAATACTTATGAACACATACATGCATTCGTCATCCGGTGAAAAGTGCTCAGCCATGAGGGAATGTCACAAGATACATTTCGAATACGTCTATTCCCTCACACTCTGAAGAAGGTCGCAAGAGCATGGATGTTTTCTCAACCTCCTAGTAGCATAGAGTTATGTAACGACATGGTTCAGAAATTCACCTTGAAGTTCTTTCTGCCACTTAAGTTCATCAAATTCGAAATGAAACACATACACGTAAACAAAAGGACCTCAAGAGTTACCCAGAAGCATGGGAATGGTACAATAGTTTGTACAGGAAGTGTTCCAATCTAGACATTCCTAAGCTCAAGTGTACCCCTTCCACTATGGTATATATCAGGAGTTCAAAAACATGGTAGATACTTCAGCGGGGATCGATAATGACTATGGACGTGGACGATAGTTATGAGTTGTATGAGAGAATAGCAAAATATCAATCAATACAGTCGAGCTACAGGGAAGTCCAGAGGAAAACAGTTGGTACACATAATGTGGACACAATGACAGCGTCGGCAACACAGATGGAGGCAATAACGAGAAAGATTGACACTTTGACCTATTCCGTGAATATGGTACAAACTGCAGCTCTGGTGTAAGCAGGTTGTAGGGCAGATCACATTACTACAAGCTACCATTTGGCTTCTACTCACATAGGTCAACTAACAGTGTAACGACTCGGCCTCTCACCGGAGCCGTTATCTTACGTACTGTCCGCTCTGGGGTGGGCTTCTACCCACTTATCCCCTCACGACTTTTTAACGCGTCCCCCAAGATTCGAACTCAAGACCTCCATCATATGGGAAACTTTAGTTGAATCCTGGTACCAATTGGGCAAGCGCATTTTTTTGTAACGACTCGGCCTCTCACCGAAACCGTTATCTTACATAATGTCCGCTTTGGGGTGGGCTTCTACCCACTTATCCCCTCACGGCTTTCTGACGTCCCCCAGGATTCGAACCCAAGACCTCCATCATATGGGAAATTTAAGTTGAATCATAGGCCCAACAATTACAGAGGTCAGTTATGCACAAAATTTTCAGAGACAGCATAACTACCCCAACAATCACCATCCAGAATGGAACAAGCAACCAACCTCCTCAATGGCTAATAATCAAGGGCAAAATTAGTAGAATAGACCACCAGGGTTCCAATAGTAGCAATAACATCAACAAGAGCAAAGGCTATCGCGGAAATATTTGCTATCTCAATACATCACAAAGATCGAGACCAATTTCCAGAATCGACGGGCTTCTATCAAGAATTTGGAACATCAGGTGGGACATATAGCAGTTGCAATAGCTAACAGACTACAAGGTACCTTGTCGAGTGACCAGAAAAGAACCCACGAAAACAGGTATTAGCAATTGAGGCGGTGAATTATACAACTATTGAGCACATATCATTCATTCCCACCACCCCTGTTAAGGCTTATGTACCACCCATTCCATTTCCTCAAAAACTTTGACAGTAGTCAACAGCGGAGTAAGTTCATGCCATCACTACTAGAAGTAGTGTTCAGTTGCTAAAAATCACTGCAAAGAGGAAGGAGATAGAGAGAACTTAAATGCCTACTAAGGACAAGGAACCAGTGGAGCAGTCTGAAGAAGCAACATAAAAGGATTAACTGATAGTTTCAGATAGCCCACAACTTAAGGCAAATGTTCTTAGCATTTCATTGATACCTCTAGTCCCTTTTCCTCAAAGGTTGCAGAACACCAAGCTGGAGAAACGATTCAA